CCTTAAGCGGAGTGCGGTGCGATATACGCATTTTAGGCTTATCGAGATGTGTCCAGCAGGGCTTAACAGAGTGGTCTCTCGATCGGAAGGCGGACGCCTAGGCCTGCTCTTGACCGATGCCTTCCTCCGCCTCTGACCGATGAGCTGCGCGCCGGTGTCGGCTAAAGATTCCAGCATCCTTAGTATACTCGTTTTCTCTGCATACACTTTTTCTTTAAAATTGTTTTAAGAAGGGTAGCTGGCGCTTGAAAACCAAAGCCAAAGAAAAGAAAACAAAAAGGAAGTGGTTGTTCAACCCTTCGACAAACGTGCAGTGAAAACATTGCCCTTGACCTAGGCATCTGACCTTTAAAAAAATGGTAGTGAAAAAAAAAATACTCTGGCAATATCTAACGCTTTAAAGCGAAATCGTATTAGGCCTAAGTTAGGACTTCTAGGATTGCCAAGATTATGCTACGTATATATCACGCTAGGCCTGAGATATACTTGGGCGAGCGCGTGCTGGATGTCGGGTTTTTCAGAGGAACGCCCAATCCTGCTTGCTCTGCTGGCTACTTTATTCACACTCACAGCTCGCTCAACTCCATAATTAAAAAAAAAAAAAAACAGTGTCCCCTCGTGTTTTTCCGAAATTATACGCGCGATTCGAAACATGCATTTTGGAGTTCCCAACCTGCATGTGCGGCATGACCGCCCAAACCTCCAAAACTTTAATACGGTAAACGAATTCTTAGTTCGTTAGCCAACTGTTCTTAAACTACCATGAAACGTCCGCCGTACTACAGAAGTATACGTAACCCGATGTCCCGTGAACTATACAGAAATGTAGTTTCCCAGTTTATAGAAAACAGTAACGCAATGCGCATAAGTCTACTTCAAACACGTGATCATTTTCTACTAATTATGTTTGCGCGCATTACACTCGACAACGAGACTTTGTGGCATGAAGCATAATTTTAAAGCGTTTGAAACTCACCATTACAGCAGTATAGCTTCACTTCAATACAAGCGTGCTGCGCAGTGAAGCGTACCTCACGTAAGGCTGACTCGACGACCTTTTTCACATATAGAAAGGTATTTATATTTATATGTGTGCTAGGGAATCTAAAATATAAAACTCAAGAAGAAAACTTTCATCTTTCTATGGGTGATAAATTGTTCGAGCGTTTTTTAAAGTTTCACAGACCGCAATAATAATTAAACCGTGGTATACCAGAAGTCGCCAAATCTACAGGGCAATTAAATATGAGGTTGTGTTAGGAGCATAAACTATATAGTATATTTTATACCGCATAATAGGGTATGTCTTGATAATTAACACATTACAGTCGTTGCTTGTGAACACACATATACAAAAACGTTTTACAACTGAGCTGGATGTATACACGTCTTCCACATGGGCGCAACCATGTTGCATGTCGCCCCTTCCATCATACGTTAAAACACCGTTTTGATCTCTCCACGCTTGTTGGAAGGAGTTCCCGAAACACACGTGTACACACGTGATTGTCACGCATTCTTGTTTTGCCTCACCAATATTTTCTCGCATATTCCAGTTTGAAATGACTTATTATTTTGTCGTTCCGCATATCATGCAGATATAACACACACACACACACACACACACACACACACACACACACACACACACACACACACACACGCACACACGCACACACACACACACACACACACACACACAAAAAAAAAAATCGTTATACAGCTTTGAGGACGAGTTTCGGTGACGCAAACAATTCGCGCATCTTAGACAAAAAAAAAAAAAAAAAGAACTCGACGTGCGATTTTGACACTTTTCAAACCTACATCGCGGACCTCGGAGAGACCACGAATACGTCGACAATCTCTCTCGTACGAGGCGTAATTCCAAACCGCTTACAGTCCAGACAGCCCCCTCCATACCCCGTCCCACCACATCAAACCATTTCCTCTCCGTACAATTCGACGCCGTCGCGTGATCCCCCAAACCTCATCTCTAAACAACACGCGCGCCACGCGCCTCGCTGCCACACTTCCCCACTTCCCCAAAAATAGCGAGGACAGTTTAACTCCCCAGAGGCAGCTTAAATCGCCGATTTATCGGCCTGGGAAATCCGGACGAGCGCCAGCCTCCCCCCCTCCACCCCCAGAGCGCCAACTTGATCGAAGGTTAGACAGAGAGCGACTGATGAGGCGACAACAGGGTTTTACCGATTTTTCCCACACGCGATTTCCATCGCCCCCCCCCCCCCCTCCCCCCTTTTCCGGGGGAAGGCAAAAGGGACACCGGAGCCCTGTGGGAAGTGACCATCGTGAGCGGGAGTGTTCCGCGCAAGCGCCCGAGACTCCACTCATCCGTGAGCTGACAATGCTGTGGAAGCTACGGGCTCGTTGGACAAGTCATACGACTCTCTTTCGTCGCGTGATCACGCCCGCTCCCGTTCATACCCGCGCGCAGAGGGATGATATCACGTGATGATAAAGAGGTGGCTGATTGGTCCGGGGAAAGCGTAGCTCCCACCGCACTGTCAGCTTAGGGGAGAATCGGGGTATGGTGGAGAGAGATGGCGGAGAGGGGCGGGGTCGTGCTTGGTCGTGTCGTGAGGACACGAGCGTCGTTTGTCAGCAAATAGGCGTTTAATGGGGCGAAGGGGAAGAGTCGGCCACATCCGAGGTGGCACATTATCGGGCCATCGGTCCGAAAGGGACGCGAGTGCGGGCGGGCGGGTCTGGGTGCGCAGATAGCGAGACGAACACAATAGACGCAAAACTCAGCGCCGTTTTCTCTCTTTTTTCTTTTCATACTTTTTTTTTTTATATGTAAATATCACTTTCGCGTTCTTCCCACCCTTTCATTGCTGCCGTCCAATTGTTCCTCTGTTTCCTAAATCGTTTTATTGTCACCTTTTTTTGTGTGTGAGACGGATACGATTTTGATGGCGGGTGTGCGACAAGAAAATCTTGTTGGCAAACACGATCACGACAAGCCGAGGTGTACGAGAACAGACGGCACGGCCACCAACGTGTCACCAACAAGCTCTTGTTTTCGTCTCCGTTTTCGTGAGCTTGCTCTAAGATTATTCCAATCCCCGTCTTCAGCGCGCCGCCATTTTCGTCCACTTGGCCGTTGTACACTTCTTCCGAGAATACGCAGTATAGCCCCCTCCTGTGAAATGTTAGACCTAGGGTGCCTTCATGTGCGCTTTGCTTAGGGTGGAGACATCTGGCCATTTTGTCCCACACTTTTATTTTTATTTTTTGTTCAGAAGCGCGTGAAGGAACGTGTCCCTGCACGCGCTCGTGGCGCTGACTGTGCTACGGCGACATTTTGTTTTCGTCGATTTCTTTGTATTTTCCCCGTGAGCGCGTGCTGTCGGCATCGGGTACTACAAAAAGGGTGGCATCACCCTTAACAGAAGGACATTTAGGCACCCTAGTTAGACCCTGTCCATATGCAAATACGGCCCAGCGATTTGCCATTTCTTTTTCACGGTGTCAAGCGCTCGAAAGTTGTAAACCCTGTCTCACCCTTTAAACATAATACGAACGATCACGAGCCTTGCGCGACCTTCCTCATAAATGCGCACTGGCTTGCGCAACGGCTCGTGCTGCAGGATAAGCCAATGCTAACCGAAAGAGTTAAAAGGAGTACAGACGACGTGCAAGATCGCTTGCTCCTTGCGGACGGTAGTGCGTTCGTAGACCCTCCAAATGTGCCCCCGTACTTTTGTGTTCTCCACGACATCATCAACCAATGGCGGCGCCAGCTTGGCTACACGTCACCGAGGGGGAAACATCCTGATTGGTCGATGGGGTCATGACGTCACAGCCACATGACCTCGCGCGGAGATTTCAAACAACTTACAACGCTCACGTGAAACATCCCCCGTGGAACGAAACATAACACGTAACACGAATTAAAGGTCGCCGCACGTCTCAAATGATTTCACTTCATAAAGTGATTCCTTTGCCCTAAAGAAAACAAAAATTGAACAATTTTTGGCGGGATTCGAACGCACGACACTTCGGTTGAGAGCCATACACACGCTACCGACTATAGGGCGCGCGCTCAAGCTTGCACGGCTGGGAACGAGCGAGGGTTTATATGTTTAGCTATCGCGTTCCACACTCTTAAAGGCGAAGCTTAAGCCGTCTGCATTTTTTTCGAGCACTTCTTGCTTGCCGCACAGCCTTCGTTTGCTTCGAAACGATCTATTAATTGTTGTCGCACTGACAGCTGGGAGAGACGCAGGCGGAGTATGGCACATTATGCTCACGCTTCCCTGCTTCGTGATTGGTTCTCGCGCGTTCTCGTGTTCTAATGCCGCAATCTCACTGGCTGAGGAGCGGTTGCCACATTGGTCGTGCAAAAATTGTCTGCACGCATGTTCGAAGAAGAAGCAGAGATGCTTCGAAGCTCGTACGTGCGTGAGGCCTGTGCGCAGATAATTCTGTTGTCTTCTGCAGATAACTCTTTGTCTTTTGTGCGATGGATGAGCAATACACTTGCGGCTTTAAAAAGGGCGACTTTTGTCAATATCTTCGAATTTGGGATTACGACTGTTTTCAGCTTAGTCAGTGTCCCCGATTCAAAAGGTATATTTTTTTTTTCTCTCTTAGGTTGTTGCGTGTAGTTTTATGATTTTCACGGCTCAAAGTTTGATTCGGGCGTCTGCGTCCAAACCAAAACTACCTGCTAGAGAGGGTGGCAACACTGACATCATCTGTGCGGCCACGTCTTGACGTCACGATGGTGCCGCGGTACGCGTCGCCCAGTGTTGCTTAACTGAAAGCTAACCCGTTTGCCACCTGCGAAAGAGCAGGTGGCAGATGGTGATACCAGTCATTTATTTTGGTTTTGTTTTCGACCGGAGTTGCCCTTTAAGCTTTCTGTGAATATATATGTATTTATATATGATACGCTGCGTCAATCTGTTAAAACGGTAGGGTATTTTTTTTTTTATTTTCCTCTGAAGGCATTTTTTGTTGTCTTTTTCCTTCAGGAGGCAAGCCCGACCTACGCGACCTGTTCGAGCAGCTGCGGTCGAGCCCCGGGTTCCTGCCCCGGTGCTTCGTCACCGAGAGGCCCAAGTACTCCCCGTGCAAGGACGACAAGCTCACCAGCGGAATGCCCTGCTCGCCAGGTGAACAGAGCCACAAATCCCTCCAACCAGGAAAAAAAAAAAAAAAAAGAAGCTTAGCGTGGCAGATGGCTTTTTAAACACATTTACAGACATCGAAGGGCTTTAGGGAAACGGTGATCTAGCGCACACCGAAAAGCACGCGCAGAGTCGGGATCGAGAGCTGATTCGTCGGTTTTTTAAACGACTTCATGCTGAAGGACTTTGACGTGCCCGTGAAACAGGAAAAGGAAGGCCAGTGTGAAGATAGTGAATCGGTTCACGAACTTGACTCTACGCGCTCCACTCGGCAGGCATTGTTTTATCGATTCCATAAATGTCTCTGTTCTTAAAGTGGTACTAAATCACTTTTTGCGAAAGTGCTATTAATTGTTATAGCTCAATCTATGGGCTCGAAACATCCTACAAAATACAAAATTACATCCATGCGTGGCCGATTTATTTATTAGAATCGGTATCAAAGATCGATTCTCTCGAAACTATCCCAGAGAGTACGCCGTCAGACTAGAAGAAGCCTTTCTCCTCGTCCGACAGCGGCCTCTGGTGTCTGGGAATTGCCCGAGAAACAGTTTATAAGTCTGTTAGCGAAACCTAGGCTACTTTGAAACTTCCGTAACCTTGTTGGGAAAAATACTTTCCAAGCAAGTTTCCAAAGACGGTGAATCGGCCCACGACCTTGTCGAAAAAGCTTTCCAAGCGTTTCCGACAAAATTCGACTAACTTTATGTGTTTCTTTTTGTGTTTTTTTATAGTTCCCAACGCTCCGACCTCACACGCCAAAGCATCAGTCTTGTATACGTGAGCACGCCAGAGTTAGCCGGAACAGGCGATCGGCAGTTATTTTTTATTGTTGCACAAACAAATCCTAAAAGAGTAGGCACCGAAACTATGCTGGTGCAGTGGAATCGACCGATATCACCAGCCAGTTTGGCTACGCCTCCGCTGCCGCAATGTATCGAGGGATCTTTAATCTTTCTGCACGTCTGACAACCTTGCTGGAGTTCTGCGCGTGCAGAGTCCAAGACGGCACGAGCCGTCTCGGGCATTGCCGCCTGCCTGCTGTGAAGTAAAGTTGTAACGACTTCACGCATGCGCCCAACGCTCAGTGAGATCGGTCTGTTCAATCATCTTGAACGGCAGCTGAAACAGGGGGTAACATTTGGCGTTCGTCACGATCATGTGTCACGAAATTTTGACGTTGTTGTGTTCACACTAGTGGCTGTATATAAGCTATGCAGATAAAAAAAAAAAAAAAGAAATAATCACTAAAAATATCTTTTGGCTAAACAAGTGGTATGAACCGCACATTTAAGAATTGTTCCAAAATTAAATTGACCCAAAAATAGAGTAAGCGCTCAGGCGAGCTGGTGATTTAAAAATGCTACTAAAAACATCAGGTTACGGAACAAGAACAAAGGCAAAACCCACACACGCACAAAAACACAACTACACGCACGCACACACACAAATGGTGTCTAAAACATTATAAGAAACGTGGGAATCCGCTACCGCCATAAAACAATGGTTCTACTGTCAGATCTGTGCAATCTTCCCAAGCCAAATATGAATAGCATTGAATAGGCTCCAACAAACTCTTCCCTTCGCCTGGCTCAATATTTACGCGGGTCGCAAACATATCAAATGCACACACACACACACAAAAGAAGAAAAAAGACTGCTACAGAATTATGTTGGGACAACTAAGCGTCTTTATCATGTGGCAACCTGTCTTTTGATTTGCTGACAAATGCAACAACAATTATATTTTAAAAAAACGAGGTTCTCTTATACTACTTATTTTTTGTAATTGGTCGGGACAGTTATCTGGACATAAAAACGGTTATGCAACGTTTTTGGCCACAAACTAATCCTATTTTACGAGCCCTCTAAACTTCTATAGCTTTCCACATAAAAGAAAGATTTGCGGATATCAACGTGGTCTCTTTTCCTCATTAAGCCGCTATTGCAAATCTCGACTGAACTCGAGAAAAGCAGCTTCTAAAAGCTTTCCGCAGCATCCGAAGATAAGACGAACTTTAGCGCTTCCTTCTTTATCTCTTCTTAAAGGGCAACTCCGGTCAGTATTTTTGAATTTGGGATTACGACTGTTTTCAGCTAAAGCAGCGTCCCTGAATTACAAGGTCTAATTTTCTTCTCTTTTTTTTCTTCTATACTGCGTGTAGTTATATAAATATCACGGCTCAAAGCGTGGTTTCGGGCGTATACGGCAAAAGAGAAGCTATTTGCCAGATGGATAGCAACGCTGATCATCAGCTGTACGGCCGTGACGTGACGTCACAGAATGCTGCGCCAGTGTTCCTTGACTAAAAGCTAACCCGCTTGCCACCCGCTAAAAAGCTGCAGCCTCTCGCATCCTTAAACTCGGTTTTAGTGGAGTACGCGGCTTCACTTTGACGTAATATTTTGTCTGTGATCATATTTCGTGCCACTCGAGCGATACCAGTCATTTAGTTTGGTTGGTTTTGTTTTCGACAGGAGTTGCCCTTCAAATATATTTTTTAATGCAAAAGCATTAACTTTATCATGGAGCGGAGAATGCGTTGTTCGTAAACGCGAAAAACGGTAGAGAAATTCCTTCCGCGGAACGGCTCTTCAAATGGCTGCGACGCGGCCGGCACGCGGGATAGTTCCAAGAAACGCCACCCCGGAAAGCGGCGCTGCTCCCGCGCGCCGCCGCCGCAGCAGCGCACACCCGTAACCCGGCCGGCCGGCGTTAGATTGTTTATGTGTAGGAATGCTTTCACATTCCTACACGTAAGCAGTACTCTTAAGTGTCATCCTGTAATTTTTTTATTTGTTTCAACGGCACGCCTACACTGGTTACGCAAAAATACTTTTTACCTTTGATATGTTCAGCGTCCACAGATACGTACGCGGTTTCACATAAGTGCACTGCACGACGCAGTTAACTCGAACACGGCATCGGCACTTTTTTTACACTTTACTCAGACGATCAACGAGCAGCGAATTTCACCGCCTAAGTAGGTGTCCAGATTTAGGTACTCTCTAAAACGCTCGTACTGAAAAAGATAGCGATTGCTTCTTCGTGCCAACTTCGTAGCACGCTCTACGTAATTCCCTAAGCAATCATATCTATATTTCTCCCCCGGACTAAACTCGACGAAAACATTACTCCGAGAAATATCCAGTCCATATGGCACACGGATTCGCGAACCTCGCTACAGTTCACAAAAAGCTCTAAAGCGTTACTTAATTCAAGCTCAAAAAGCGCGTTCGTTCAATGTTATGGAAGCACCTAAGAAAATACGATAACGACATGGTCTGAAAAAACCCAACAACTCCACTCAAACAAAAAATAAATATATAAAAAACAAAAAAAAAAGACAGTGGTTTTTCATAATCACCAGCCACCGCCGCAACGCGGGAAAATTACCACCTCAAAAATTTCAACAACCGAGTCGCGAAGCTCCTTTCATACATTAAAAACCCATATATCTCCCCGATGAAACCTACATGCGTTCAAATTTCCGAAAAAAAATCCTTTTTTTTCTTTTTTTCGACGCGTATAAATCTCAAATTTTATGCACTTACTTCTCGATATACTATGCGCAATCTAAGTTCTCACAAAAACGTGCAACCTGTTAATCACAAAAAAAAAAAAAAAATAAGTTAAAAAAAAAAAAGTTTGGAACGAGGTCGAACACAAAAATTAGGTAGCTCGCGATTTTGAGCCGAAGCAGTAGCTTAAAACGGAGCACATGCATCAGCGATATTGGTACAATTTAACGCTTCTTGTTTTTTATGTTTGTTTTTTTTTTCTTTTCTTTCGCGCAGGAGCTACATTAAGCCAGAAGGCGGCGACGAGAAAATCGTAAGGCATAAATGCACTAAAAACAAAACAAAACAAAAACAAAAAAAAAACACGCCATAATCGTTGAATTTGAGGGTGTGAGGTTCCCATTTTTAAAAGATCGTTAGCCACGTGTGCGTGTGTGCGAAAACGTGCTCGTGTAAATGTGCACTCCTAATTGCTTCTTAATAGCCTCCCCCCCCCCCCCCCCCCCCCTCTCTTCTTTCTCTTCGCGATTCAAAAGAACGCCCGCTTCAATTCTGGCTTCTTAAACGCGCATATTTTTTTTTTTCTTTGCTTGGACATCTTTGTCTTCATCCTTTTGAAGCCATTATGGCCCGGTAAATTATTACTATTAAAATCAAACGCTTATTTTTTTTTTCCCCCTTCTTCTGCTTCTATAGATTCCCCATCTCCCCCGTGCACTCGGACAAAAGGAGCCTCCACCAATGTTGTCCGCCGCTGCGGTCTTTCCGAAAAAGCTTGCACGGCACATTATGTCGAGTACATAAATGAGCCACCAAAAGAACAAAAAAAAAAACAGTCAAGGCAGAATACTATTTTCATTTCTTCGTACCTTTCAGTTAAAGAAGAAAAGAAAACAAAGAACGCGGCTGCTATACAAAGAATTGAGAGAAAGAGAAAGATATCGTGAAAGGGAGAGGCACAAGAACGAACAAAGCAGACGACGGATGGAGAAAAAAATTATGATCAGAAGGTCATTGTTTGGTTTTATTGTCTGCAACGCCATCTTGCGGGCAGCCTTGTTTCGCACCAAGCCCCTCCCTTCCGTTGTTTTTGAGGTTTCCTGACTAGAACAAACTGTGCCGCATGGTTAAAATGAATGGAAGAACCATCGATGTTTCCAAACAGGAGCCAGATCTTCGTCGCGGTTATTTACCGTCTCGCTCAAATGCTCATTGGATAGAGTTAACGAACCGGTGATTGTCACTTGCTACCATCTTCAACGGCCACTACACAATCTTGGCTCCCCCTCTTAGCACTTCTTGACATTAATCGTCGCCACACAATAGAGACTTTTAGTAGCTCGCACGTTAGAGCTCTCCGTAAACAGTAACGTCACCCGTTAGTATTTCGAAAAAAAATGTAACGAGTATGTTACGCGTTACCGAAAAAACTAACGCGTTACCGGTAACGCCGTTACTTATAACACGTTACCGCCAATACTGAACAAGTTACGCAGCGCACACGTTAGAGTGTACGGTTCGACGCCGAGGTTCTGGAAGATTCCAGGAGGTCGATCCTCGCGGTTCATTATCCCCCATTGCAGCGCGCGACAAGGGAAATTGTGGGCAGACTTGTGCCCGTTACTTGAAAAACCTAATGGATTACAATTACAAATTACCAAGCCTCGAATGCAATGGATTACCCTTACAAATTACTTTCGCTAAAAAATAACGGTTTACTTTACTCTTTACGTTACAAATTACTTTCATGTTACATTTCCCGTACACTATTCACGAAGAAAACAACAGCAACAATCTCAATGTTTTAAGAAAATGTTTTGCAATACTACTTTCTATTTGTCATAGTCAGAAGAAGAAAAACACGATGGAACGCGATGGGAAGAGGCAGGGCCTACTTGGCGTTGTCTTCTTGATCTTTGTTTTTCGCGTATTTGTATATACCTTGCAGGTTTTTCTAGTGGTTCTATAGTGATGGTTCTATAGTGACCGGTCATACAAAAAATTGTGTTTTATTTTCGGTTATTATCCTCTTTTATCTTGCTAGCTTTATGTTGCTGAATTGCCTGCTCATAGTGCTCCACTTTCTGTATTATGTTCATATTTGTAAAAAAGTAACAAGTAACTGAAGTAATTCGTTGCAAGCAATTGCAACGAAATTACACTACCAATTACTGCCACAGAAAAGTAACGTGACAATTACAAAATTACTTTCAAAAGTAACGGATTACTTCCCAAGTTTGATTGTGCCGAAGTTTCAGATGTACGCTTGGTCTCACTCGGATGCTTCATGTTTCCGGGCACAATCTATTTCGTCTCGTCGTCCTGAGTTCAGAACACACTAAAACAATCGATAAAGACAAATCTAGAACCTGTGAATAGTCAGAACAATCTAATCTTGAAATAAGGGTTACTGCGCATGCGAGCTGTGGTGCACGTTCATAGTGAGAAAAAAAACAAAAAAAAAAACATTAATATTAGGAACAACGAAAAGGGGACAAACACAACGCCGTCTCAAACGCTGTGTTGTGTTTGATATCTTGCTTCGTTTGGTTTCTTTTTGCTTTCTTTGTGTCTTAAAAAACCAATATAATAAACCAACATGATTTTTTTTTTTTTTTTTAACGTGAAACGTTTTTTGGCTAGTTGCTCCGGATTTTGTGAAGCCGCATTTCCTGATGTCATGGCCTACACACCAATTCAGTTTCCCCGCTAAATTTAGCGGGAAAATTTACGTCACGTTACCTGATGCTACGAGGCCTATATATATACACCAATTATATTTCTCCCATATATTTAGCGGGGAAATTAACGTCACTTAACTTGCACACACCAATTTAATTTCTGCCCTAAATTTAGCGCAGAATTTGACGTCATGTGGCCTGATAACACGTGATGTTATAACGTTTCCCGTATGCCAGTGGTACTCAAATGGCGGTCCGCGGACCCTTTGGGGTCCGCGAAGGCATATAGGGGTCCGCGATTCACTGCCTTGTCTGTCAAACTCGGCAATGAAAGTCGTATTCTTTTCAAATTAGGAAGAAACATTCCGAATTTCTGGTGAGTTTTCTCGTGTTTATGTCAATGAGAGTATAGTCTATTTCACGCTAGCCCTTATTTATATTATTTTGTTAAATAATTATCAAAATTAACCTTCCCTTCCCCTCACCACGAACTGGGTTCCCCATCATCTCCGCCGAGCCACAAGGGTACCGCGAAACATCAATTGTTTGAGAACCACTAACGTATGCAACACAATTTCCTAGCAATTTGCCAGGCAGTTTTTATTCGTGGATACTTTTTCACGTGCCATACATCGGAAAGTCATAATAGAGACCTTTCGCAAACCGTTGCTGTGCTCCGCGTACCTCACTACCGGAGCCTTCGAAGCATGCTTTTAAGCGCACGCCCCGCGGTAACGGTACCACACGGGCGCGCGCTTAAAAGCATGTTTCAAAGGCTCCGCCAGTGCGGTACGCGGAGCACGGCAACGGTTCGCTAAAGGTCCCTAATGCTTCAAGCAGACGGGGAGGCGCCACGTATTTCCGGAATTGTGTAAGTACGTTTGTGTTTCCTGGACAACAAACGGAATTGTTGGTGAAACGAGTTTGCCAGGTGGGTTGTAAGCTTCTGTTTCGCGCGCGTACTCTGATGTTACAGGCCTCAACCATCTCGGCTTCAACCGAGCTTTCGATACTGCGGCTACAATTTAGTGGCTCCGTCATACTATAGAGCCACTAATTAAGCTACACTTCAGAGAAACGACACTTTAGCCGTCTTTGTGCTTAAAATCGCGGTTGCCAGTTATCTGAAGCTTTATTCGAAATCGCAGGAAACAGCTTTCTGTCCTCCAGACATGTTAAAACAATTCGCGACAGAGCAAAACGATGTCACCTGAGCTTCCTAAGACCGTATCTAAAGCTGAGGAAGTCTGGTTTACGGATGGTGACAATCGACACGTTGCGTCTGCTCAACACAAGGCACAAAGATGGCGGCGCCCACGAGCAGATTGGGGAACGGAGTGCCGATACTCTAAGCGTATGGCTCATTTAGCGGCTCTACGTCATACTATATACGGCGAGCAAGTTGGTGTGCTCCTTGCACACCTCGTGTGTTTGATTACTCCCAAAAGGCGCGTACTTCCTTGTGTCTCCCAATGGCGGCGCGCGCTTGGCTTTCTCGTCATCGCGCGTTCCGTGCGAGCTCTCTATGTGTTCCTTTATTGGCACAGTCCTTGCGGTGCGATGCGTCAAAGACGCATTTTGGGGCACCCGCTCGCCGTAGACACCCTTGACGTGTTTAGCGCTCGGGCGAAAAACAAAATGCCGAATCGTCTAGCAGTGGGCGTACGCGCGATTTCTGGTATTCTCAGTCAGAAGAAACATACTGCGCAAAATCAGAAAGCGTCCCCAGTAGACAAAAATTACAAACTCAAAAGGCTATTTTAGAAATGGTTTCTTTGATTAACGATAGGGTTGTGAGAATATTCGAAACTTTCGAATATATAAGCGAATAATGCCATATTTGATTCGAAGGTCGAATTGAATAGGGCCATTCGGCGACTTCGAGTATTTTTTTTAAGGGTTTCGAAGTTTGAAATCTTGTGTAACAAACCTTAATTCAGACACACATAAAAAAATATAAAAAATCAAGGAAAAAAAACGGAAACAGTATGCAGTATGTACCGTATTTTCCGGGCTATAGTCTGCGGATTATATACGTTTAAAAGTTGACATTTTAGGCTGTGCGGACTTGTTTTTCAGGATCGTTCATTATGACGAGACGTGACGGATTTTGTGATTGAAAGACTATGTTATTGATGATTTATATATAATACACGCTTCTTTGTGAGCTAAGAAAGCAGACATCTGTCAAGGTGTGCCGCCTATGAGAAGATTTTCGTGTCGACTTGGCACCAGGGGCGGACTATGCAAGGCGTGCGGACTATGCACAGGGTGCGGACTATCTAAACAAAAACTTTTTTCTTTAGGCCTAAATTGGCCTTTGCGGACTATAGCCCGGAAAATACGGTATTTGAAATGAGTTCACTAACCAAGGCCAATTGCTACTTGCTACACAAGTAGCAATAAAAATAGGAGCAACAAGTCTACTCTCCAGAAAGTAATGCGAAGTGCGTTTCTTATAGTTATAGATAACGCCAAAGTGCTCCTACAAACGAGTCACATAACTTTTTTTCCCCTAAATAAACCGCGTCTTTTGTGGTCATGCTTCTTGTTCATTATTTGGGATATTGACCTTGATGAACTATTACGAACACTTTACATTACGGACCGTTTTTCTGGGCGACGGAAGTGTCGAGGTTAATGCGACGTGACTGTATTGAAGTAAGAGTAATTGTCTAAGCGAGCTGGTGAACCAAAACTTGGGTTTGGGCTACTTGGTCCGTAGTGACAAAAAGGTGTAAAAAGCTCGAACGAAATGAGGGCAAAGAAGACACGGAGACAACAGGACGGGCGCTATGACAAAAGAGAAAGGAGCCCAGTGTCAAAGAAATATGTTGCATTAAAACATGTGTTTGGACTACCGGCAGTGCTGTTGTCTTCGTGTAGTTCTTTGTCTTCGGTTTTTTCGCGCTTTTTATACCTTTTAATGAGCTGGTGAAAGATCACGGTAGAGAACCCTTCAAACATTTTTGCGATTGTCCTTTTTTCTTCTTATCTAGTTTCAAGTAGAGAAACTAAATGGACTGCGCTTAGAGTATCGGCACTTCTTTCCGCGACATTGTTGTGGGCTCCGCCATGTTGGTGCTTGTGCAGAAGTGCGACTTTCTCAGCATTAGATTCGATGTTAGGAAGTTCGTGTAATATTGATTTGCACTGCCGCGAACTGTTTAAACATTTGTGGAAAGCGGGAAACCGTTTCGTATGATTTCAGATAAAGCTTCAGATAACTAGCAACCATGATTTTAAGCCACAGTATGGCCGAGTGTCGTTACTCTGAAGCATAGCTTACTTAGTGGCACTAGTTTCAAGGGTTCTCTAACACAACTGTACTGACGGCCGCAAACTATTCGCTTCGCTTCGAAATTATTTGTTTCGATTCGAAAATCTATTTGTACAAAGGAACTGTTCGCCTCGTATTCGCTTAGAACAGAAAAAAATCACTAAACGCACATCCCTATTGCCAACCGTTCCTCTTGACACTTGGTCCCTCTCTGAATCGCAGTGACGTGCAGTGCAGCGGCGGTGCAGCTTGCCGCCTCATACCCGGTGGTGGCCAAGCCCATCCCTCGAGGCTTCTTCGACTCCCCTCTGCAGTCGCTGGTCGCCTGCCGGTCCTCCTACCTCGCCGGTGAGTGCGCTCTCACATAAAGAAATTTTGGGCTGGAATAAATGATATTAGACTCGGAACTTTGCTATACTCCGTTTCACCTTATGTTGTACCGCAGCGAAGGCTAGAAGCGCGAGCTCATAGCGTTGGCAGCTGCCCTTGGTGCACGAGAGCTTGTGCCGCCGAGGTGTGCCATAGAGCAAGGAGCTCGCGCTTGTAGCCTTTCCAGCGGTACAACACAAGGTCAAACAGAGTGTAGGCACGCATAGCTTAGTGGACCAAAAGAAGAAGAGAGTATAGAAAGTCAGAAACCTGCTTTTCGGTACGAAAATTTGAAAAATATAGCAGTCCGCTATATTTTTTCAAATTTTCAAATACCGAAAAACATTTCGTATCTCGTTTCCTTCGAAAGCTCCCCGCCTTTTCACCCCGATACATCCGCGGTGGCTAAAACACGTCAGCCGCCGACCCCAGCTCACGCAGTGAACACAAGCACCGCGTCACCCGGACCGCGCGCTCGTCAACAATCAATTCGTCGACAAATATATATTTTTTTTTTAATGAGCTAAACTTAGAAACTGAAACTAATTCAATTTTGGCTAAAATTCGGAGTATATCTGGGGGTCCATTGTTCCCAAAAGGTATTAATCTAAAATCGGTCTTAATATGCGTTAAAGAAATGTAAAGGTGGCCGCGGTACACGGCTCAAAGCTAGTCCGATACGCACACATTCATGTTCATCTCAGTTTCGCTTCATATAAATTCGGCTCATACTGAAAAATATTTGGATTTGTGTTTGCGGCCCAAATGCCGTTACGGCACTTATCATCACTGGCGAATGATCAGTCCCGTGGTGTGCTGAAAAAAAACAGGGTGGAAGCTTGGTCGTCATTGCATCCGGTGTTTAAGCACGTCACTACCACGTGATTTATCATTTTGCTTTTGATTCGAGGAAAAAAGGTGAGGAGGAACAAGTTAAAAACAATTATTTTGTAGCCCCTTTCACAAGTCAAGATCCCCTTATTATCGCTCCTGCCAAAAACGAATCAAAAAGCAAAAGGCGTCAACGCAATATGGCAAGGCCTGCGTTGCTCGCGCAAGGCCGTAGCGTTGACATTTTTGACGTCACTCATTGGAGGCCTGTGCTGGGCACACAGACACGAGCAGGAGTCCAAGCCGAACGCCGACGACGCAGCAATCGTATCCAATCTTTGTTCGACGTCGGCCCCCAATTTGGGACGTAAAGTTTTCGGCGCTTACGGCCTTGCGATCTAGAAGGCGTTAAGCGAACTCCGTCATGTTTTTTGTACCCGGCATCATTATTAGTCTATACTATATGGAGAGTGCATACAATCCTAATCTGCAGATCAATAAGGGTCTCGTAGGTATTAAAGCTACTGCGACAAACAAAATATATTGGGGAGCATCCGAAGTAATGACCTTTGCCCGTGGGGGGGGGGGGGGGGGGGGGGGGGGGGGGGGGGGGGGGCAAGGTCATTAGAAAACAAAGTAAGAAAAACTATGTTTTGAGAATCCCAAAACCTCAGAAAGATTTCTACCAAGAATCATAGCTTTCACAGTAATTATTTTTTTTGTGTGGCGCTGTTTAAGCCCCAATGTCATAAAATGTGTGTTCGTATTTAGCTAGCAATTCAGGCAAAGCCATCGATCTTGGGCGTTTCAAGGATTCTTAAAATATATCGGTATACCTCTTGACCGATAACTCTACGCCCTGGTGCTGAACTCCTTGTGAGGCCACAGAAACAAAAACAAAACGGCGCAAGTAAGAAAAAAATGAAAAAGTTGAGGAGGCAGTTTAATAAAAAAACAGATTGCAAGCAGCTTTTCCTCTACCTCGCAGGGAGTGTGCCAAAATTCGACCAACACAGCCACAAAACATTGCTACTGAGACGCCTCCGTTCAGCATTTTTCCCGCGTTCCAACGTCCTTGCTACTGCTGTCCCTCCCAAAACCCTCCATGATGCCATGGTCCACCAGGCCATTGCCGCATAGAGTAATCTTAGATATATAATACGCGCCTAAAGCGTCCGCTCGTCCTACATTTGCGCCAACGTTTTATGCCGCCACGAAAACCGTTCGGCTGCGGACAGATCCCCAGCGGCCGTGATGGTCCAAGGTCCAAGAAGGTGGGAGCGCAAAAGGAGAATACAACACCGAAGCTCGCCTCCGCGAGTGTTGGGTCAAGTGGCAACCCATAAAGCCTAAAGTCGCATGACACTCTCTGAGTTATGAACTGGCTCCGGTAGCTCATGGCAAAAGAAAAATCAAACTGGGTTTTGTTTTGCTACGTAGTTGTTTTTAGGGGCGAAGCTCCTTAGGGGCTAGCCATGTCCGTATGTCCGTCCGCCGTCGGGTGCACGTGCTCCTACTCGTGAGCTGACGCGCTCACGTGCTTACGAGCACGTGAGCACGTGTTCCCGTGCTTGTGTAGGGCAATAAAACAACCGCATCTCCACGTGATGAATGATGTTGATTGGGGCGAAGCTCTGGCGGTACTTGTCTGCGTACACGCTGAGCCGCAGCATGCCGAGCCTTTCATTCGTTTTCATCCATGTCAGAAAGAGAATGTGTGGTATGGAACGTGGTTATATACGCATTTGAGCATTTGACCGCAGCGTGACATGGATGAAAGCAAACGAAAGGCTCGGCATGCTGCGGCTCCGCGTCTACGCAGACAAGCACCCACCAGAGCTTCGCCTCAATCAACATCAGTCACCACGTTGAGATGCGTTTTTTTTTTGTTTTTTCACTCACATTTTTTTGGCTTTGCGCCTTTTGCATCAAAAGAATCACAATACCAGGACGTGGTCATATCGCGTAAAGACATATATATATATATATATATATATATATATATATATATATATATATATATATATATATATATATATATATATTAAAAAAAAAGAACAGAAGGCGCTTGAGCTTCATAAAGTTGCCCTTCTTTCTCCCTAAATACAAACGCAAACTTCACAATGTCGGGGCTTAAATGGAGACCATACTAACAAAATATTACAGTTATATATAAAATATGATTTTCAGTAAAAAAAATCTTTCCTACGAGGACACGAGCAATAAATAAAATATTTTTTGGGGGAAAATTAGTTTTAAACTTGCAACGTACCCAGTTTTTATGATATTTAAGTAATCGTACCGCTAGAGATAATGCCCACAACTGAACTATTTTAATAAATTGATAAAAATCTCATTTAGGGTTTTGGATGAAGATCAAAATTATAAATTTGACTTAAGCAGATCGCAGAGTTTTGTGAATGTTAATAAAAAAATCATAAAAAATTAGTTTTAACGATTTTTTGAAAAAAAAAAAAAAACAAAGAGGTCTAAACTTAACAATTTACTTTACGACATCTTCTAATGTCCATAAAGTTATAGACAAAAATGAAAATAACGTAGAGGCAAAAACCACATGGCAGGAGACTGAGTCAAACATGCAACCCTTGGCAGTCGGGAAAAAAAAAACACGCTAACTTCCACCGCGGCCGCTTCTGCGCTCCATAACTTGACAATCAAAACGTATTCAAATCTACTGTTTTCATCTTTTTTTCTAGGCAGGAAATTCCTTGCAACATACTTTTTTCTTTTCGCCAAAAGTAAAAAAGTGTGTCCTTTTTGCCAGCAAGACTTGGGATGATATAATCTTTCAACTTCCATTCGTTCTGCAGCATTTAAACAAAGTGACGAAGCCAATGGACGACTCGCGGCTCGCACCGCAACACTCAAAATACATCGAGGAAATTGTAGCACGAACAAACATCTCCTACAAACACAGCGTCGCCTATACGAACCTTACTCCCTCCCATATTCCCTTCTCATTCAGCATATCCTTTACCCGAAGATAATACGATATATATATATATATCTATAGGGAAGTAAGAGCCGTTACGAAACACACAAAAAGAAAGAGCGAGAGAAAAAAAGGCCTATGGTTCACAGCTCTATCCGCCACGCCGACCGTATATTATAAACACGTTGCGTCCGGCGCGCCGCGTTCGCTCCATTAGCTACCGAGTGAGCCAACACAACGGCGACGCCAGTTCCGCGTCCAACCCAACGCCGCCACCGTCGTCGCCGTCGACCGCGCAAACAGCGCGTGAGCGCAAAACGACCTCTTCACATACTTTCGCCAACGCCGTCAAATGGCGCGGACGCGCCGAAGCAAATCGGCCTCTATGAAGCAGCGCCATCTACCGTCCCGCAGCGCTATGCCCCACGACGCGTGCCCCCCTTTTTTTTTCTTTTCTTCGCCAGTTTCGTCTGTTAAAGCAGATTGTCGATATGCCTCTCCCCCAAAACAATTTTACGTCCACGAAAGAACAAAGGAATTAGTATTAGAACCCGTTATCCCCGGGTTCAGATAGGCACGAAAAGTGTAGACCGAATATATGTTCCCACGAACGAGGTTGTTTTCGTGGGAAGTACCGAGTGGTCTGAGCCTTTGTTTTGGCGCGTGAGGCGCGCGCGGGACCGAGAAGAAAGAAAAATATGGCAGAAGAGAAGGGGGAGGAGGGGAAGGGGGGGGGGGAGGAAAGAGTGAAAGGGAATCCAAAGATGCTGTCGTAGGCTAGTGGCTTTCCAGCCATAAATTCATCCGCCTCGCGGCGTTTTCACCCAAACGGCAGTTATATCGTCGTCTCGCTCCTAAGGTCTTCCGCGTCATTTGAAAGAACACCGTGGCAACGTCGAACCATTTTTTCGGTGACACAGAGGAAACCTTCGGCAAATGAAAAAGTAAAAAAAAAGAACACGTATGTGTGTGTGCGTGTGTGTGTGCGTGCGTGCGTGTTTGTGTGTGTGTATGTGTGTATGTGTGTGTGTGCTGGGGGGGAGGCATCGTGAGCAAAGGAGTTAAAGACTTGTAAGCAGTGAGAGAGTGCAGGCGAGCTGGTAATCAATCGACATCTTGTAAACCCTGAGATGGGGAACGATAAAAAAACGGACGACGTTGGTTAAAGCCTCTAGTACTCTATCTGTTCCAATATTGAAGAAAATTA